ATGTGGAACTCGTAGATCAGGCCCCTGGGTAGAAGGGGAAATTTCATTTTTTCTTTTATATTTCTTTATTTCTCATTATCTGTCCCCTTTGAACCTCCTAATATCATCTACGTGGTGGATGTATGCCAAATCAACCGTTGATTAATAAAAAAAATATATATATTTTTTAATATAACAAAACTCCAACTAATAATCATAAATGCTGTAGGCCCATTATTGAATAATAATTTGTGATTGTTGAATGGTGAATTAACTGTAATAAAGACCAAGTGGTTTTTGAAAAACCGGTATATTTTTCCATGTGAAGTAAATCCAACTATTTTCCACGTGAAATTATAAATAGTAAAAATTCAGGGTTTAAAGTGCTTTCATCCCAAAAGAAAATACTTTGTAATAACCACCATTTTGGATAATAGCCACAGAAGGGGGGAAATTTTGCCAGGATAGGAGTCTGCACTGTGCACACAGTATAATATAAAGTACACCGGATTCATTTATCCTCGGTGAAAAAGCCCTCGTTAAAATTCACCGTGCAGAGTTCAGGGCCCCCACCTATCTCTCCTCTCCCAGTGATGCTTTAAACGTGAATTGGCGGTGTGCAGGCCAAAGGCTCTTATTCTCATCCACGAGAATAACAAATTACTCAACTACAGCTAATGCTCATTCACATTCCTAACGAGGGAATATCCTTTTGTCTCAATTCACCTCCACCCGCAAATGACAATCATTGTCATTCAAATTATAATCATCTCCACATGTTTTCGCCATCTTTGTGATTATGCAAATTGTTTCACATAGACAACAAAACAGAAAGCCCCTCTCGATTTTTTTCATTGAATTTAACGAGACCAATTCACACCAATAGCTTCATCTTTTCATTGAATATGCAATTTTAAGCCACTGCATTCCAATAATGAAAGGACTCAACTCAAAGAATAATAAATGATTCAGTCAATTATAAACAAAAAGTTAATTAAATTTGTGGATTGCGAAAAAAACCTGATATATTTTTTAAACGCCTGGTGCAAAAGGACGTTATGCTAATATAGAAAGGGCGATAGTTAAAAATCACTTTTGCCTGTTGGGTAGTAATTTTTAATCAGATAACTGTGTGGAGGAAGTATTGCAATAAATTATTGTGAAAAAACTCACCGTGCGGGATCCTATGTCAAAGCTGGTGCGATTAATACGCGTAGTTTCGTCTTGCCTCATGGCTGCAATTTCAGGTTTTAACCACTGTTTATCGTGAATCAAAGGGAGAGCTTCAATGTCACTGTTCCCCTCGCTCTCTGTTTCCCAACAACTTCCGTCACCCTTTGTACCTTCCAACAAGCTAATTGCGCAATCGTCAACCCAACGTGCCTTCACATGTGACATCGTTCAAACTCTCATTCATATTTTGCTAAACTAGCCTCACTTTAACTATGAGTGAAGGACAGTGCGTGATACGCGTATGATTTCTCTGAACTTGAACGATGGCAATATTGATATCAAAACAGTTTCATCAGTCGACTCCAATCTCGTGACTTTTTTTCTTTTTTTTACTTTTTTTCCACTAAAAGACCGGATTATAGAGTTGTTTTCGTACACAGCACTTGGATAATTTAATCACCGCCGATTTATACCGCTCGTATAAATCGTTTGATTTTATTTTACTGGTGCACAGAGCATTCCCTCACATTTGCAAACAACATGAATTTCCAGGGGTCTCGATATAAACGTCAATAACCAAATCAAAACTGCCAACAGGAAAATTAATGGGCTCTTGGGAACAGGTCAAAATAGATCAGCAACTGTAACTTTAAAGTAAGAGAAAAAAATTATGTTCTTGTTATATGATCTAAGTGACATTATGACTCAATACGCTAATCGGGTTGATGTCAAGTATGCAAATTGATTAATTACTCATTTTACTTTGTTACTGGATCAGTGAAATTGTAATTTTAATAAATAAAATATCGTCGACTTCACTCGAACGAAAAAAAAAATCCATCCCATCCAATTTCCAAATGGTTGTAAACGAAACACTGAATTTGACAATTCCCCACGACTGATCACTTCGAAGTTCGCTATAATCAACGTTATTATACATGCCCCGAGGGAATAATCGAATAATATGAACCACACAATATATGAACGGCGCAAAGGTCATTTCTCCCATCGTATAAAATCTGCTCGTTGAATAATCGACAATATTTTATTTAATTGGCAGGAATTCCATTTACATTTTCAAAAATCCCGAGGGAAAACCTTAATAAATCAATCACAATCCCACATCACAGACTGCAAGCCCTGGGGGCCCTACATTCCTCGGATAGAAACCATTTTCTCGTCTGATAAGAACAATTTTGAAACGAAAATGATACCGCGCAAGATAATTCCCCACTCTTCAAACCCAAAAAATAATAGGGAGAAAAAATGAGAAACTGGAGACAATTCACGAAATGAAACATATGTAGGGCGGATTTTTCGAAAAAATAAAGCGAAAAGGGGGAGTTAGTGGATAATCACGAGTATGATAGTGCGAAGCAATGAATAAAGCAACACGACTGGATCTGGACGGGATATACAGCAGGGGGGAGGATCGTGGATGAGGCTGAAATGAGGAAAAGAGATGATGTAGTTATGATAAAAAGACCAACTCGGGATGAAATAGGGATGGAATTGTGGAGGGAAAGTGCGAGGAGAGGAAAATGAGATGCGTCCAACGAGGTACAGAAATGAAGTACGGGTGATTGGTCGAAAAAGGGGTACGCGAGAAGGGTTTCATGCGCATTACACCACCCCTTCGTGGATTTTCATTTTTATTTTCATGCAAAAAATCCGTGTATGTGAGGTGTATATATCGCGGTGATTATTCTCGGATCGGTTATTCTGTTGATTTGAAATTCGTTGGCGATTGGTTTTACGTTACAATGAACCACGAACACGGGTAAACCATGGAATTTTATAGTTTATTCGTCCAATTACTTTATTTATAATGGTTGAGTGATACGTAAAATAAGGGCGTTGCAGCCGATTTGAGGATATTCTAATTAGAATGTAGTGTATTCCATTTTTTAATACGAAATCAACAGAGAAAATTGGAGATTAAATGGAATTTTCTTTTCTTCCTCTCGTGGCTCATCGTTCGCTACGGAATTATACCGAATGATTTTAAATACTAAAACTGAATCGCTAGGAAAAAAAATTCTCCCATTCAATTGCATTTTTTCAGTTTTCATGTTTACGTGTTTAAAGCGCAATAAAATATTACGTAAACGGTTTTCTTTGACTTCACAGCGTATGATTTAACTAGGAAATCCACCGGTTTCTTAAACCGCATTACATTTTTTTTATTATTGTCGATATCTTTTAATTTTTCAATTTTTTTAAGAAACGGTAGATAAAATTGATTATTCAATATCTCACTAAGTTTCCCCAGTTCTTAGTCAAAGCTCCAAAAATCGCAACGATTTATCAAAAATTTCTAAAAATATAATAAATATAATAAATATAAAAAATATATAAATGTAAAAATATATAATCTAAAAAAATGAAAATTGAGAAGATATTGGAATGACGGACAGTATCAACAATTACCGCCATCCATAAAATTTATCTAATACGCCGGACCCTGTGATTACGCAACCGTTAGTTCTCGCGAAAAAAAATCCAAGAAAAATAAATAAAGCCATTAAGAATGAAAGTTAACTGAAAGAAGAAAGTCTCGGCAGAATAAAATTATCAGCGCTCCACTTCCTTTTCCAAGCATACACTCATACTTATTAACAATAATCACAATTGTACTCAGTCGAT